AATTGAGTTTTTTCAGCTAGATTGATCCACCACTTCTTCTGGATGTCACGGAGCTTCTGTTGGAGTTTGCTGCATGCAAGACAAAAGGTTGCTTTTCTTACATGACAGGATGGCAGTGCAAGGTGTGCTTGGTGAGCAGATCTCTTCTTCCTCAACAATTCCTGGATCTCTTGACTGTTTTCATCAAACCAGTCCTTGTTCTTCTTGAAGGAGAACCCTAAGGACTCTTCAGAGGACTGCAGGATACTGTTTTTAATATGGTGCCAAAGTGTTTTAGGAGAGGGGTCTATAGAATCTATAGAATGATTTTTGAACCTAGTTTGAAGATTTGCCTGGAATCTGTCTCTTACTGTGGTTGACTGGAGATTGTTAACTTGGAGTCTCCTCCTTGGGATACTGCCCCTTTTAGGTTTGAACTTAAGGTTGAAGTTAAGTTTACCGCGCACAAGTCGATGGTCTGTTTGGCATTCTGCGCTAAGCGTCATGCGGGTATGGTGGACATTGCGGACATCTCTCCGTCACACCAAGACATAATCAATGAGGTGCCAATGCTTAGATCTCGGATGCATCCAGGTTGTCTTCAAACTATTTTTCTGCTGAAAGATAGTGTTAGTGATGGTGAGCTGTTGCTCTGCACAGAATTCTAGCAGAAGGCGACCATAATCGTTGCAGTTTCCAACACCATGCTTGCCTAATGCTCCTTTCCAGACTTCAAAGTTCTTTCCTACTCTGGTGTTGAAATCACCAAGGAGAATGATCTTATCATCTGCAGGAACCTTTTGGGTAAGGTAGCGCAGGTCAGTGTAAAATTTATCTTTTTCAGCAGGGTCAGTTTGGAGAGTTGGGGTATATATTCTAAAGAGGACAACATGTTGCTTGTTGTGTAGTGGAAGGTGTAGGATGTCCACTCTGCAGTATCAAGCATGGTTCTGATGTTCCAGCATGCGAGAGTCAATTTGGGTACACCTTTGAAGGCAGGTGTATGCCTTTGTCTCTTGATCTTTGTGTGACCGCATTTGAAGAAGATGCCTGTTGGCCGCGGTTAACTAACCGGGTGAAGGGGGAGATGAGCTTTGGTTAGGCCACCTTTTCTAGGCCCCTCTCCGAATGGAGCAAGCAGTGCTCTCCTTGAAAAAGGCTGCTTGGTCATTCAGGATGCTGCCGAAAGAGACTGTCATCTCCGGGGTCAGTCTCTAGCGACCAATGTCCTGAACCGCCTGCATGCAGGGTTGGGTCTGCAGCTTCCAGTGCACCTTATCACCTGCCGTTTTGACCCTCGCCCGTTGCTACAGGGCTTTACAAATGTGGATATCACCCTCGAGCCTGAGCAATGGATTTTTTAGGTGAGATGCAGCATGCGCAGAACTGGACCCACCCTTTAATCCTAAGGTTCATCTGTCAGGTCCTAGCAAGCTTGGACACTGACAGCAAGGTCCTTAGGACGTAGGTTTGATTAGAGTGTCCTTCTCTTAGATGGATGGCCTTACAGGGCTAAGCGAGCTCCATCTGCCCGGGTTTGGAATTAGTGTTGTCCTTCTCCTAGGATGACTGCCAGAAGGCTAGCGAGCTCATCCTGCCCATGGACACATTTTATCTGACCCTTCGGTTTGGACCTGTCTGGCATGGGAGACCCTACTGAAGGCATGTACCAATGCCAGCATAGCTTGCAACTGCATAGGGGTACACAGGTTTCTTTCCCACTCAAAACAGTTAGGGCAAACCTTTCACTTCTTTACTTTTCTGCCACTCATCTATACTCAAATGCAGGGAAATACCCAGGAACATCCCTTTGTCCTGACCACCCTTTCGGGACGCAATAAATAAATCCAAAACAAACCAAACCTGGGCAGTAGCTGCAGGTGAGCCAAAACCAAACCGTTCTGGCCCCCTCACCCACCTGAGGCTCAGGTGTCTCCCATGACCCCAGCCCGGCCAAAACCAGCCAACCCCCCAGAAGAACCCACTATCCACCCTGGCCTTATCCTCCCCCCACCGTGTTACCACAGATCTTAGCCATGTAGTGTTGGTCCATCCACCTTCTTCTGTGTGGTGACACCATAAGTTCTGGTACAGGTTGCTGTGCTATAAGAGGCATTTTCCAACTGGGAAACTTAATCTGCAGCACAGATCTCCTCTGTGAACTTGGACCAGTAACTTAATTTCTGTAATTTTTCAGTTTTAAAACTTGCATGTATTTTCTGAGGATAGATACACTGAAGAATCTGAAATACTCAGACCAATGGAGACTATTAGGAAACTAAAAGATTATAAGATAATGCAGAGAAAGGAGATAATAAAGACAACTGGAAGAAAGAAATTTGAGTCAGTTACTTCATCAGACATGGTCAAAGTTGAAGAGCTGAACTGCAGAACAAAAGAAGCTTTCAACAGCAGAGACTAGTTTTGGAAACAGACATTTTAGGCTGTTTTGCTTTCCAGGTGTATGTTTGTCAAGTATCCAAAGCATTGGTGGCCATGTACATTTCTGGTTTGGACCCTGGATGACCATTCCTGTTCTTGAAGTGCAGCTCATACTTCCAACAGACATATTTTGTATGGCACACTCCTTTCTGTTCTTCAAATAATGTTTCCCAACAGATCTGAGAGATGTCACCTTTTCTGTTTCTTTAAAACCCTACTTTCTATACAACCTAAGTAAGGTCTGCTGACCACTCACCCCAAGCCTGTATTCCTCCAGGTACTTCAGAAATGTTTAGATTTGAACAGAATTAGATTTTACATTTACCTGTGATGCTAACAACTTTGTAGCTCCTAATGTCACAGCCGACAACAGATTTATTATGGGTCAAATACCTAATCAGTGGGACTATGTTAAATAGAGGTGAAAATTACCTGTGAGAGAAAAACAAATAAGCATAGTCTTAGAGAAAGTCTAGATAATGACAGTGACAAGGTAAACCTGAAAATAAGTTTACAGATTACTGGCATAGGCAGGCAAAGACAAATTAATTTTTTTTTAAATAACAAAATGTTTAGTTCAGTTTAAAGACTATTCCTTCGAAGATCAAGTTTCCATGGCGTGAGAACAAATAAATCAATATTGAAACTAAACAAGTCAACATCAGGACCAACAACAGCAAGTAACAACTAAACAGGTATAACAGCTATAAATTCAGCCTAGCATACTCCAATCAAACATGTCATCTCAGGCCCCATGACCCTCTTATTGGCTGCCAGAAAGGACTGTGGTGTGTTGACCCTGGCCAGCAGCTAAGCATCCACACATTCGCTCATCCCCATCCCAATGTGATCAAGAGGGGAGAGAATAGAAAGAGCAAAAGTAAGAAAACTCTTGGTTCAAGATAAAGACAGTTTAATAAGTGAAGGAAAGAGGGGGAAAACCCCCCAAAAATTATGCAAAAGCAATCAATCACCCCTTCCCACAAACAGATCAATGCCTATCCAGGCTTTGAGCAATGGTTACTTTGGAAAGGCCAAACTCCCAGTTTTTTATTGCCGAGCATGATGTTATATGACATGGAATATGCCTTTGGTCAATCTGTCTCACTTCTCCTGTCTGTGTCCCCTCCCAATCTCTTGCCTACCCCTAACCTACTGGGAGGGAACAACAGAGTGGGAAACAGAAAAGGCCTGAACGCTGTGCAAGCACTTTTCAGCAATAGTCAAAACATTAGTGTGTTATCAATACTGTTTTAGCCACAAATGCAAAACAGAACACCATACCAGCTGCTATGAAGGTTAGCTCTATCCCAGCCAGACCCATTACAATATCATAACAGATATGTTTGAACAGTCTTTGACCGCTGTCCTAGTTACAGGGGTCAGGACCAGTTTATTACTGTGTGGGTGTAATCAAAACTGTGTATTCTACACCCTCCATGTCATGTCTGATGGACTGTTAATAATGGATCATTTGCAGCAGCTGCCAGGGCACAGCTAATGACTGAGCTGTTATAACTCCCCTCAGGGGAGGAAATAGCCTGAGGGGTCATCTCTGCTAATGGGCCATACTGGACTGGCATAATAGGCAGCTGCAACACCCAGACCATTAAAGACTCCAAAAATATCCCATGACTCACAGAGTTAAATTACCCATTGTAAAACTCCCTTCCCTGGGGGAGGTACTGGACATTCCCACCTAAACATGAGCATATATAATCTTGGGGTTTTGGGACTTCTGGTGCCACTCGTCGGATAGAGAGGAGGACCAGAACTCCAACAGGACTGCCACTCTCGACAAGACTGTGATCATTACCTCAACAGAAATGCCACCATCATCTGGACCAACAGGTTTTCCTTTACTTTGCACCCAGGGGGGTCACTTGCTCAGCACAGGGGCCAACAAACACTTCTGTTCTTGTCCCAGGGGGCTGGGTTATACATCTGTTTTTGTGGGTTAAAACCAGTTTTTCTCTGTATCATTGCATCTATTGTAATTTATTTTTAGTAAATTGTAACTCTGACTTATAATCTCTCTAGAGCTGGGTTCATTTCTCCTGCTGGTTTACTTTTAAACCAGCACAAATGCTTAGCAAAGAATCACTTTTTCAAAGGATACATTAAAAAACATAGAGTTTTCAAAATCAAGTTCTCCTTGTAGCCCAGCTATACCTAGCTAGTTGAATTCTTCTTTGTGTTATAGCTCCACAATATTTCCTCATACCATCCTTTATAAAAAGTAAACGGGACAGTGACACACTTGATTAATTTAGGATAGAATCATAGAATCATAGAATCAACTGGCTTGGAAAAGACCTCCGAGATCATCAAGTCCAACCTTGATCCAACACCACCATGGTTACTAGGCCATGGCACTACTTTCTATTTTGACAAATTTGTGCCACTAATAAAAATATTTAAAAATTATTTCTTATAGGCAGACAAATGCTCCAGATGTATTAAAAATAAGAACTGTACTTTCTACATTAAATTTTCCCAAGATTAACCTCAGTCAGTGATTTACTTGACAATATCCCTTTAAGTTGGTGTCATAGGTTTACTTGTTCTAAAAAAACCAAGGGGGAATTTTTTTTCTTTCCCCTGCATGCTGTAAAAGAAAGATGTTGAATGAGGGAGGGGGAAGGTGTTTGCCAAGGGTGATTGACACACACAAAGGAACTAGCTAGCAGATCCACATTCCAGGCTGATAGCCCTCAGAAGATTGGAGGGGAGGAGGTGATGAGTTTGGTTTTTTTCCTCTCCTCAGGAAACTTTTACCCTGACTCAGGGAGGGTGTGTGTGGAAAGGCTCCAAGTTCGTTTTGTTTTTGCCTGGGTCATCTGACTGCTTCTGGCCCTGGTTCACCTCCATTCTCCTGCACCCTGTTCTGCCCCCAGCCCGGACTTGTTCAGATTTTATTGGAGAGGCTTGACCCTTCTTCAAAGGAACCTTTGGGCCAGAGCCAGCCTCTGACAGCGTGAGTCTGTGGGAAGACCCCTTCCTCCCCTTTTCCCCCTTCCCCTTCTTGGTGGGGAAGATCTCCATTTTTGGCTTCTCCTGTGCACCAGGGTCCCCACATGGCAATTACCAGAGCCCAACAGTGCCCCCTGCCAGCCACCACAGAGCAACTGCAGGCTCTGCTCCTCCAGTGGTCCAAGAGCGCTCCCTCCTGATCGTGGTTAGAATTGCGCCAAAATGCAGAAAGTACTGAACTGTTTCCTTTTTGAAGGGGACTTTTGGGTACAGGATTATTGTCTAGTTGTTTTTGTGTTCTTTTGTTGTTCTCCCAATATACATATATCCTTTAATAAAGGGCTGTTATCTTTTTTTTCTTTCTCTATACTTCCTCAATTGGAGCCTCTTAATGTCAGATTTACAATTGCTTAGAGGGAGGAGCTTGGTCTTCATCATAACTCATCCTCCTTAGCAAAACACTTCAGTCTCATTAAACTGAGACAGTTGGCAAAACCAATCCAATAAAAAAGTACTATCGCAATACCATACTCCAAGCACTTTAGTCTTAGCCCACAGACATCTTGGCAGAGAGCAATGCTACATGGAACATTTTATTCTTTCCAAATATGGCACCTAGCGGATAAGCTATCAAATCAAATTCCCCTTTATCTAGTGTTCAAAGCATAAAGGAAATTTGGAAGAATTCCAGTTTTAGTGCACAGTGATTTGGGGAACAGAGCATAGCTATAGCAAATCAAAAACAAGCACTGTGCACACAGATGTGATATGCCCTTCAAGGTGGAAAAATCTGTTCCTTCCCTTATTATTACTCTAGCCCGGGGTAGAGCTTTTTTGAAGCATGCAAGTAATGCAAAAGCACAAACTGAACCAAATGTCAACAGGACTTGTTATCCTGAAAGACATACCATTTTGGGAAAAGCTTTTTTTTCTTTGCTTTTAAGATATGGCATACAACTTTTACTACAATAAGCAGGGTCTCCTGATTGGTGCATCTCAACCTTCTTTAACCCAAGAACCAATAATATTTTTTGAAGACATCTCTTTATCATTTTGTAGAGCATTTTCATATCAGTTGTCAGTTTCAGTCAAATGACCACTGAAAGTTTAAATTACTTTGAGCACATTTCCCAGATTTATTTGTTTGACTGTTGAAATGAGAGGGGATGTCCTTTCTAAATGACTTAGGAAATTAGAAGTTTTAGCTTATATAAAATTGTATTTTAATCAACTAAGGGATTTGCTTTCTTGGCATGGTAGTTGTCATTTCTTTTAGGACTACAATTAGTTTCAGGATGTAGAATGTAGATGAAACATGGGAACTAATAGAGAGTGTACCATATGCCCACGTGCAAGAAATTACCCTATACACTTCAAAAAACATGATCAATAAGAGATTGTTTTGCGAAGAAGTAAATTCAATTAAAGGTTGTTTAAATTAATGAGAAATTTCAGTTATCTTTGACCAATGATGAAAATATGTGTCTTCGTAAGTACTAGAACAATTAGTTTAGGGATTAGAGGTCAGCTGGATCAATCATAGATGTTAGGAAGACTGCCAAGTGGAAAGAAGACTCTATGAAGATGACTCTCTCCCCCAAAGAAATGGACACTAGGTGGCAGTCTTGCTCCACGAATGAACTCCAGGATGATATTTGACCTCCAAATCATGACATAATCAGGGGTTGGGTGTGAGAGGGGTCTTTCAGGTATCAATGTATTTATATCCCGACATTTGTGCTGATTCTTCGATTCATGTATGGCAAAAAATTTCCCCATGAATCCCCAACTGGCATATTAAAGAAATGTCTGATCCAATGATTTCTGGTTGTTGGGTTTAATTCTTTTGTTTCTGTATTAGGGAGGAGGAGGAGGTTCGAGGATATACTGAAGCTTGAAACCATGACACCGTTGAAAGCTTAATAAAAACCAAGATTTATTACCGAGAGAGTGGCCAACAAAACGAACAAACCCAAAAGGGAGGAAGGAGGAGAGAAATAAGCCTCAGTTACCCAGCTGTTGCCCATAACATTATCTTACCGACCTAGCGTGCCTATAATTACCCATAGCAGAAGCGGCATCCTTGGAGAGTCAGTAAGTTCACAAAACTGGCAGGTGTCCCCGTCGAAAGGCAACGTTGTCCTTGATGTGAAGTTAGCTCCCCTCCAAGAAAGCACTATCTACTTTTATACAATTAACTGAGTGACCACAACCTCCCAGGTGTGGCCAGCACCGCCCAACCAGAGGCCCTCAGTCCCACCTCCCGGTTATGTAAGTGCATCTCTTCTGCGCATGCGTGAGGACTTTGGAAATCCCCTCACGCAGGCGCAGTATGTTTTGGGGGTCTTTCTTAATTGAGTCTGGGGGCGAGCCTTCCTCCCCTCCTCATCACTTTCTCCTCCAACTGCCCTTGACGAGCAATTGACCAATCACAACAGACCAATTAAAACAGTTTACACAGAAGTTCTCCCTCCAAGGCCAAGTCCACTGCTTTATCAGAGCACTTGGCAGGAGAAAAACGTAAACTTCTGCAGGTGGCTAGGGCCAAACACAGACCAAAAAAAAAAAAATAATAACATTCCAACTTCGTCCCGATACAGTTTCAATGTACAGGAATGGGTGCACATGTTTTTAACTTGATACTTAATCTGTGGATGTCCCTCTAAGCAGGTCTTTAAAGAAAGAACTGGGTGTTTTGGAAGAAGCTAAGCTGCTGTGTTGGTTTTTTTTTAAAGAAGAGTTAATCTTTCCACTTGCAATAATTTGTTATGAGCACTTGTGTAATAGGGAGAGTTCGAAGGATGCCAAGATTGAAACCAAAACACTGTTGAAAGCACAAAAAAAATAAAAATCAATATTTATTACCAAGAGGTGACCAACAAAACGAAAAAAAAGCCCAAGAGAGAGGAAGGAGGAGAGAAATAAGCCCTCAGTACGACTCCCCCAGTCACCCATGTGTTGCATATGAAGTTATCTTGCCACCCCAGAATGCCTAGAATTACCCATAGCAGAAGCTGCATTCTCGGAGAGTCGGCAGGCTCACAAGATAGCGGGCGTCCCCGCAAAACGCAACGTTGTCCCTTGATGTGAAGCTTGCATTTTTCATTCCCTCACCCAGCATGAGCTATCTGCTTTTTATAAATTAATAGGTGACATCTACCTAGGCAGGTGTGGCCAGCACCACCCAGCTAGAGGCCTTCAGTCCCTCCCTCTGTTATGCAAGTGGTATCTCTTCTGCGCATGCGTGCCTACTCTGGAATTTCCCCCACGTGTGCGTGCTGTACCTGGGGGAGTCTTTCCCAAATGAGTCTGGGGGTTTACTTCATCACCCTCCTCTTCACTTTCTCCTTCAAGTGCCCTTGAAAGGCGATGAACCAATCATAAGGCAGCAATTAATTTCAGTTTTTACAAGATGTTTGCTTCAAGGACGAAGTTCTCTTTTATCAGTGCTTGTTTTCTCATAACTTGGCAGTAAAAGAACAAACTTTCACAAGTGGCTGGGCCAAACATAGACCACAGTATCAACATCTAATTAAGCCCTGATACAACTTCTTATCGGTTACCTTGGCTGAACGCCCGGTGTCCACTGAGACTCCGCCCAACCTCCTCCCCTGAGGGAAAAGGAGGAGGGAAGGGGGGAAAGAAGAGGAAAAAAACTTGCAAAACTGAGACTGCCGAGAAAGGCGGTTTTATATTTACATAGAGAGGAAAAAAAAAGAGAACTATAAGCACTATACACACAGGGAAAACTGACAATAAAGACTACTTCCCTGCGAAAGGTGTTTTCCTCCTCTGAATAACAGCTGTCTATCCCGCGCAACTGTCCTGGAAGAGAAGAGAAGGAGTTGTTTCCTTCTCGTCTCTTTATATCTGAGCTGACATAACATGGTATGGAATACCTTACTGGTAAAATATACATCAGGTGGCCTATCCTAGTTCTGTTTCCCTCCCAGGGAGGGTTACAAACCCACTACAGCACTAGTGAACTTTACCGCCTTATCTAGTATGTAATATGACACAGTCATCATACTACAAAATGTAAGTTCACGTATGGTTAATAATAATTTCATTTCTGTCTATGTTGGCTCTCTTAAAAACCCATAATTGGAGCAATAATTTAATGACAGGTGACATCACAGCAAATAATTCAACAAAACTGCTCTGAGTGTTTAGTGCACCACTTGCAGGGAAACACATGCTGAGATCTCCATTGTCAAAGGATTTGGACAGATGGCTGATGTTATGGGAGTTGATTCCCACAGACTACTTAACTATATTTTTTTGGAAGGGACCTTAAAGATCATCTAGGTCAGGTTGCCCAGAGCCTCATCCAACCTGGTCTTGAACACTTCCAGGGAGGGGGCATCCACAACTTCTCTGGGCAACCTGTTCCAGTGCCTCACCATCCTCACAGTAAAGAATTTCTTCCTAATATCTAATCTAAACTTGCCCTCTTTCAGTTTGAAGTCATTCCTCCTTGTCCTGTCACTACATGCTCTTGTAAAAAGTCCCTCTCCAGCTTTCCTGTAGTCCCCCTTCAGGTAGTAGAAGGTTGCAATTAGGTCCCCCGAAGCCTTCTCTTCTCCAGGCTGAACAATCCCAACTCTCTCAGCCTTTCCTC